CTCTCTCTCTCTCTCTCTCTCTCTCTCTCTCTCTCTCTCTCTCTCTCACACACACACACACACACACACAGACATGAATGCACATACCCAAGGTGTTGGTCATGTACAGATGTGTTGAGCATACCTGAATGTTTTTGGACATTCTTTTCCTGCATGTCCATCAAACTCAGAAACAGAGAGCGATTCAGTTTGCATGTCGCCTTCATTGGTTGTCTGGAAATGTCTTCATCACTCCACAGCTGCCCAGATGTAAAACACATTCACATCTGTGTCATCTTTCATTACATTTCATTCTCTCTCCCCCGTCTTACCTTGTTGCTCCTTCCTTCTCTTTCTCCCTTACTATATTTCTCCCCCCTTCTCTCCCTTACTCAACCAAAAGTGGGTCAGAGTGTCCGGACTTGTTACTTAACAGAAGAAATGGGCAACACATGTGTTTAACAAACACACACTGAGCGACAAACACGCTCTTGTCATGCTCAGTGGTGTGAGGCGTTGATGAAAGATGGGTCTTAACTTCACAGCTGCTTTATGTCTCCATGTAACTCCAGCTTTGCCTCGTTGGTCCATCTCCCCGCAGTCTTCACCACAGGCTTTGCAGATTTTAATTTCTGCCTGTAAGTCGGGAGAAGATGGACCAGACAATGATCAGAGAGTCCCAGAGCTGCACGAGGGACAGAGAGAGAGAAAGAGAAGACAGAAAGAGAAGACAGAGAAGACAGAAAGAGAGACAGAGAGAGAGAGAGAGAGCAATACAATTCTACTTATGTTTACTTTAACAGATTATTACTAATAAAAAGTCTTTACTAGGCTCTTTACGTCCAGTGCCAACATAAACTGTGTGTGTGTGTGTGTGTGTGTGTGTGTGTGTGTGTGTGTGTGCAATAGCAGTCGGGCACTCTCAGCCTTTATGTGTTATGGTTATGTACTGGAAACTGTAAAAGCTAATCATTTCCAGCGTTGATCAGAGATGCAGCCATACAAACACCAGTACGAATACTGTTGATACTCACAAAGTTATCTAACTCGACTTGTTCTGGATCTCTTCCCTCCTCGTGCTGTAATGACACATGCGTGTGATTCATTTGTTTGGCAATACTTTTTTTTGCACATGTGCGTAACTGTAGAAAACTGCCAACTGACCACATGTTGGTAAAAATAAATTGATGGGATGGAAAAAGATGAGAAAACCTCACAGATACAATAGATAATGGACAAGATCCTGCTTTTATTGGAGTGTTGTTTTATGAATTAAATAAAATAGAATAGAGAGAGAGAGAGAGAGAGATCCCAGTCAGTGCCTTATCCCTTTTGATCCTTTCATACTATTTGTGTATTTTTGTAGTTTTCATCATTACTGCCTGTGTTTGTAGAATTATACACCGACACTCACAGCGTCAGATGATATCGTTGACTGACTTAATACTTGCAGAGTAAAAACTGAAAAACTGAGGGAATTAAGGAGAGTCACCGTTGTTCGGTTCTGCTGGAAATGAGGCTGAATCGTCGTTTATGCTGAGTTTGTTAGTAAGAGTCTGAGTCCTGAATGAAGAGAAGCCTCGTTCCAGAATGAGAGCTGACTCAGCTCTCGACAGGAAATCCACGTCTGTCTCCAACAGCTTAGAGAGAATAAACTGCTGTTTACATCTGTGTGCGTGTGTGTGTGTGTGTGTGTGTGTGTTCGTGTCCTGCCAACTGTCCGGTGACTGTGCCAGTGTTCCTTTGAATCTGCATTTGAAGAGTTTGAAGGATCATTTTTTTTATTTTTTAGCCTTTTCCAAACCAAAACCGTTATAACCGAATAAAAGTGTAAGGATGTGACTTAACAATGAGTTTATCTGTTTTTCAGCTTTTTATTGTCAGCTGTCTTTGGCCACTACTTCAAACACCATCTGAAGACACCAAAACGTTTTGTGTTTTGTGTCTCAAACGGCATCATTTCTTCAACCAGACTTCTCTCTCTCTTTCCCTTCCCCCGCGTGCGTCTGGTGGAGCAGATGAAGCTGCCGGTGCTGATGCTCGGCCGGTCGGCGGACCTGCGTCCCGGCGAGTTCGTGGTCGCCATCGGCAGCCCGTTCTCCCTGCAGAACACCGTCACCACCGGCATCGTCAGCACCACCCAGAGGGGAGGCAAGGAGCTGGGCCTCCCCAACTCCAACATGGACTACATCCAGACCGACGCCATCATCAACGTGAGTGAAGAGAGTGAGACGGACAGACAGACAGACAGGTCTGTGGGGAGGCTGTCGTGATATTCAGCAATTATGCACTCAAAAGTCTCCAAATTCTGCAAAACTCAGCATGACACAACCCAAATTGTTTGCATTTATGATAACCATGTGTGTGCGTGACTTAGTATAAATAGATGTTTGGTGCATATTCAAAGTTGATCCAACTGTTTCCAACTCCTGATTAGTCATAATCCTCTGCATTGATCGGCTAACTTTAAACATCTTGTGATGACCGACATCAAACCGCAGCACGGTGCACGTAGTGCAGACGCTGAAGCTTCCTTGCATCTTCACCAATATGCAAAAATAGTTCATCATATATCTATCACTTCAGAATGTGTTTTGCTCTAACCTGCTGTGATTTCTTCTTGCTTTTACATTCTTTGTTTGCTTGTTTTTTTTCTTGCAGTACGGCAACTCAGGAGGACCACTAGTCAACCTGGTGAGTGAAGGAAAACCTGCGAGAAACTGTATACAAGCTTGTTTCATAAATACAAACCGGATGAATTAGAACATGAAGCATGTTGTTAAGGACTCAAATGTTTCTGTAAATTACATTTCCAAGATGTTAAATATGATAATAGGTTGTTGATAATCAATCATTCATCATTTGAATGTAATTTCATAGCTAAAATTGAATGTAAAAAAGCCATGTTATGTTTATCTCACCCTGAGATTCAAATTAATTTAACTGTTACATCACCGACACAGAAAAAATAGTTTCTTCTTACTTGGACCACATCTATATATTGCGAAACAGAGCTATACGTAATCTCATATAAACAAACACCAAGACCCCTAAAGTCCTTGTTAAGCAAAGTAAATAAAGAGTTTAGGTAATGTTTGGCAAGCGGTCGCAGTCCGCAGCTGACTCTGATTATAAGTCTGTTTTGGGCCAGCCGTGTGACTAAACGAAGGACAGTGTGGTGTTCAACGAGCTGCATGTGTTGGACTTTTACTTGGAGGGATGAACTGATGTGTGTGTCCTGCAGGACGGAGAGGTGATTGGCATCAACACCCTGAAGGTGACAGCAGGAATCTCCTTTGCCATCCCCTCAGACAAGATCAGACAGTTCCTGGCAGAGTCGCACGACAGACAGGCCAAAGGTCGGCTCCAGTTTCACTCTTTAGTTTACAGAGAGACCATCAGAGACAGGGGGACAGGGACAAAGAGACAGAGAAGGACAACATGCAATGAAGATCTTTATCTTCATCTTACTCTTTATAACAAACAGGAAGTGAACTTCATGTTCGAACCAACACATTTATGTTTTCTATTGTTCTTTGTTTAAGGGAACGACAAAGTATTTGGTTTAGTAGGATGCAAAATAGAAATGAAAGCCAGGACGAGGAGGAAAACCCCTCTAGTGTCCCTCAGTATAAACTTTAGGCTCCTTATGCATGCATTATCAAAAGATGTTGTATATTTCATATTTCATATAGCGACGTTGTGTACTTTCATGTGGGATGAGCATGACACAGAAATGAAAACTACAACTTACCTTATAGTTAAAAGTGGGGAGTGTAAAGAGAGATTAGAGTAAGCCAAATTATAGATATTATATATATTACAGTCTCAGTATTTTCACAGGCTGCAGAATGACTTCATAGTATTAATTCACTAAAACTTACTGCCTGCCATGTTACAGAAATGATTGTTATTGATGATTTTAAAACATGGACATCACGTAACCCCAACGTATTCAGAATGCAACGCTGTTTGTCAAAGGTCTTTAAAGAAGATGTGTTTCTGTACTTTACTGAGTTGAAAGAAGATGATAACATTTACATTTTCTAAATCAACTATACAAACACGTTTCTTCATGTTTTTCCAGGTAAAACTTTCCAGAAGAAGAAATACATCGGCGTCAGGATGATCAGTCTCATGTCAATGTAAGCTTCTGATGGTAGCTTCTGATGGTAGCTCTTTGTGTAAAAATACTACCATTGAGTATTTTCCTCATATGATAATGAAACTCCTCGACTATCTGCAACAAAAAGGCGTTATCTTTTGTATTTCTATCGGATCAGACTGTTCTGTTGGGTAAAAGAAACACCACTTAAGTCTGAGAACTGCAGTGAGACTAATTCATTGATTAATCTCCCTGATCCCCAAAAGTATGTTTCTCAATCCGGACATTCCTACATAACAAGGGTGGTGATGATATAGAAGATGTGACCTCATGCTTAAGGTACCTGCTGTCAAATGACGAGTTTAATTAAGAATGCGAGTCAACCCAGGCCACGCCCACAGCCTGCAGAGTGACGCCCAAGCTGTCACAGCAGGAAACGGCTCTCAACACCAAAACAAGCATCACTTTATGACTTTTAAGGAGACTGGTGGGGTTTAGTTCAATCATTCACTATCCGTCATGATTCTATCATTATGTTGTTGGTGACTAAATGTTCACTGTGATAATGATATAATGTTTATTTTCATTGTCAGGTGAAATAACTGAATGACTGAAAATGTATTAAAAAACTGCAAACTGGTATAATAATATACAACATACATTTTAAAATCATTAACATCGGGGTAGTTGATAGAAGTGATTTGGTCAGTGGTTTTGAAAAATGTCATAATTTTATCTTAAACTAGTTTTCAGAAGAATCTGTGGAGCCTCAACAACCTGATTAAATTAGTACATGTGACTGAATGATCGGCAGCAAGATGCTTTCTCAAAATCAGACCATTGTTGAGGTTGCAGTTTTTCAAAGTTTGAAATTTGCAGTTTTACCACAATTAATCAGAGATGCTTTACATGTTGAACCAATGCTTCAACCCTTCAAGTTGAATTAAGAGCTCATGTTTTGGCTGTTTTTCTCCCGTCAGGCTGGCGAAGGAGCTGAAGGAGACGCAGTCCGACTTCCCAGATGTCACCTCCGGGGCGTATGTCATTGAGGTCATCAGCCGGACTCCAGCTGAGGCGTGAGTGTCTCTCGCATCACTTCTTATTCCTACATTATCTGGTGTTCACTGCCCAATATGTTAAACACAGGTTAAAAGATCCGAGTATGATTAATGCATTAGTAATGCATTAGTCATCTGAGGTGAGTTTCACGCCAGCAAAAGCACAAGTCTTCTTGGAGTTCAGACTCAGTAATGAAGCTCGACACACGTGAAAAAAGATGAAGGGTGAACGCTGGTTGTTTCCGGACTCGTTCCTGCCGTATAGATACGTGTCTTTTGTCCCAGGAAAACTTTTTGGTATCCACACGAAACACTTGTTGACAGCAGGGAGACAGCAGGGAGAGTTTTTCTTGTTGTCTGATGGGTTTCTGTGGAACACAGGCGGGAGTCAGGGTGATCTGATCTTGCTGAAAGAACATTTATTTGATTTGAACTCTCTGTGTGTGAAGACTGCAGGATATGGAAAGTTCACTTCTGGTTTCAAAGCTGCTGTTTTGCATTTGGAATGAGCTGAAAGCTGGCAGTGAAGGCATGAGTGTTTCCCACCCAGAATGTCCAACTCCCTCTGGCAGGGCGGACAAACTGCTTCTGTCATAGTCGAGAGAATTCTGATTCATATTTTCGCTGGAGCCATCCACATTTAAGGTCTTGCTTTAATTATAAAAGCAAAGCTGCTGAAAACGTGGCTTTAAATCTTAAACATTTCTGTACATTATTCATAATGACTACATAAGCAAATAGAAACTCAGTATTTGACACAGGTGTGTTCTCGTGTTAATCTATGCAAATGTCTGCACCAGCTCTGTGCAGCCAAACTGCAGTTCCCTATTTAACACTTCATGTTGACTGTTTTAACGCTTCCTCTGTGTCTGTCCACAGTCCTGCTGCCTTTAGTTCCGTTAGCTCTGTTAGCTGTATTAGCCCTGTTAGCTGCTAGCTCTGATAGCCAAACACACTGTAGGACTCTCGTCGGCTGCTCACAGCTAAGTAGCTCTCCCCCTACCCACATGAGAAGAAGCGCCCCTGTTGTAGATGGTGCTTGGTTAAGTTTGTAATTTGCAAAGTGATAGTTATATTTACATACACGCAATTGTTTTACCTAGGGCTGCAAATCAAGAGAGGTACAAATCATGGTATAAAACAGTCAATGAAAGGGTTTTCAGAAAGTCTGAATCCCTGCAACCTGAAAAAAAAAAGGTCACTGAGCATACAGTTAGACTGATTGGCCCAGTAGTATGCGCGATTAGCCGTGGACAGACAGACGTAGGGATGCACACACACGACTGAATACATAATCTCCATGCAGAGATAACAAACATAGTTAGTATTGTAGAAAAAAAGGTTTTCAGGGCCTTTAAAACAACACAAGTGGAGTATGCATATGCTTTGATAAGGAAAAGTTATAAAAGAGATAAAAGCCCTTCTTTCTTGGTAACAGAGCTGGCCTGCAGGAGAAAGACGTCATCATCAGCATCAATGGCGAGCAAATCACTTCGGCCAGTGACGTCAGCACTGCCATAAAGCGGGACGACACGCTGCGAACTCTGGTGAGGCGAGGCAACGAGGACGTCCTCCTCATCATCGTCCCCGAGGAAATCGAACCGTGACCCCCTCAGCTGAATGAGCAAACAATCAACAACCCAACCAGTCGACCAATCCAGAGCTGGCTCTCAAGTGTTTTTCAACCAATCATGAACACTTTGAAAAACATGGCAACCAATAAGGGAGTGTGCGTCTGGGGCCACACCTGCTGCATTTATGAACTTGTAATTATTAGCACTGCTCTTCCATGTTGTTACGCTCACACGCACCTTCAAAGGTCCAACTTCATGACCCTGGGAACTGAGGCTTCAACCCTGTACTCATACTTCTCATATCAGTTTTTCTTCTAATCTTTCCATCGTCACAGACCATTTATATTCTACTTACTCCATCTGTCGCTACAACGATTTAACTGCAGGTTACCGTAGTTTTGTTTTGTTGTGTATGTTCTTGATGGAATATTTTTAATAGTATTTTTGTCCTTGATTGTTTAATGACAATTTTTCAAAAAAATGGGAATAAAATAGTTTTCAAAACTGTTGTTTTTATTGACAATGTCAATAAATATCTGTCAGTCGATGTTTGATCTCAAACATGTTCCTCAATCAGCCAAAAGGATCTAACATTAAGCATGAACGCTGAAGTGTGTTAAAGCTGCATTCTCTCTAGTGTCCACCAGGGGGCGACTCCTCTGGTTGTATAGAAGTCTATGAGAAAATGACTCTACTTCTCTCTTGATTTATTACCTCAGTAAACATTGTAAACATGAGTTTATGGTCTCAATCTCTAGTTTCAAGTCTTCTTCAATACAGCATGATGTTCATTTAGTACATTATGGTCCATTTAGAGTCACACAGACCATAAAACAGGGGATGCTTTAGGGCGGGGCTACACGGTGATTGACAGGTATTATCTCATATTCAGCCTCTTGTGTCACTTCTGGTTGCAAAAAAACCAAGATGGCAATGACGAAAAACCAAGACAGCTAAAAATGCAATTTGGCTGAACGCGAGGCTTCAAAACTGTAGTCCACAAACCAAAGGGTGACGTCACGGTGACTACACGCTCATTATTCACAGTCAAAGCTCCAGCCACATTCCAGACACTTTTCTCAAACCTATCTCAAACCATTGTCTTCTGTCCTGTCCCAGTCACCTCCCTCCCACATCCAGCCAATCCCCTTTCCTCCTGTCCAGGTCACCTGACCCTCTCCCACTGACCTCCAGACCTGCTTTCCATCACCCCCCTAATCAGCCCAGTACTTGATAAATGCCGGCCCACCCTGAGCCTTCCACTCAGCACTTATTGTATTCATACTAGTTTGCTGCACTTATTGCATTCGTTTGTTTCTGTACGTTGGCTCTGGTCTATGCTCTCAGATGCTTGTTTAAAAAGGGAGATGCACTTATTTCTTCTGGCGACGAGTAGTTCTCTTGAATACCGATGTTGAATACACTTATTGTAAGTCGCTTTGTATAAAAGCGTCTGCTAAATGACTGTAATGTAATGTAATTTCCACTGTGTTAAGAGAACACTGAGTTTAGAATAACTGATCACAGATATATAAACATGGCTTTTAAAGATGTTTAATGTGTATGAACAAAGAAGAGAGCAGAAACTGAACTCCAGCGTGACCTCAGCAGCCGTACACAAGGAGACGGAGAAAACAAGTTGGGAAAGAACTCCATCATCTCTCAACATCTTGTCCTCCCCTCTGTGACTCTGGTGTCCCTCTGTGCCATGGTACTCTCTGAAACATAGCAAAGCCTGACACGATGTTGGCCCCAGTGTGTGTGTGTGTGTGTGTGTGTGGACGTGCACGAGCAGGGGGTGTGTAATGAAGTACGTCACAGCCTTAAACACTCCTTATGGGCGTGTTAGTTGTTATGTATCATATATTTACATTAACTATCGCCGCTTTAACCACTTCAACGCTGGATCTTTTTTTTTTTTGGCTTGACTCCAACGCATTTTTGCACCGGTGGCTCGTCAGCATGGTGAGTACTTCTTTATATTCATTTATTTATTTAACACCAATTTGAAATCCCAGTGAGCACCAACCGGGATTTCAACGCATTTAATGTTTCATATAAAACGTCATAATTATGTAACTGTAGAAGCTCCCAGGACATCGTAATGAGACCAGTGTATATTCTGTACATTCATGTAAAATAATTTTGTGTGCATACTGCTAGAACACGCATGCGCAGGAACTTTGAAAGAGGAAAACTCGACAGGGGACTTTCGGAGCGAAGTGATCGAGCTGACGGAATAAACGTGAGGCTTCACGCTAACGACATACTCTGTCTTCTTCTTCTTCTTTGAGTTTAATGGCGGACTACAAACCAACGTTTAAGGTGCATACCGCCACCTGCTGTACCGGAGTGTGTAACATCATGACTTTATGACAATTGTCATTTGAACACAATGATAATGTTATTGTTAATAAATAAAATAAACAAACCAAACCAAAATTAAAAAGAATAATAAAAAATGAACTTCATATAGAAGTTATATTCTGGATATTAAACCCGTTCCATTCCAAAAGTAAAATGATGTCTCCTATCTCTGACAGTCCTTTGATGCTCCACTACTTCCTGTATCTACCACTCTGCCCTTCAGTCTCTCTCTTTCCACACTGAACTTCCTCCACTCAGCTCATGTTCAACAGTTTCTTTACAGTTGCTTATCTCACATTTATCCCACTCTGTCTTTTTCATGATGTATACGGTGTCATTGTGTCCTAACCTTAATCTATAGAAAGTAACATCTTCTTTTCTACATTTAAATGTGTGTTGGTTAATGTGGGAGATTGTCTCTATGGGCTGTCGCTGTCTAACCAAACATCTGCACATCATCTTACAATATGTTATCCTCCTTATGTAATGTGTGACCCATTTCATTTCAGTCGACTCAGCTCTCTGCTGCCAGTTGGTTCATGCACAGTGCCTTTGGCATCGACCATCTCCTCGACTAACGGCAGCGGTTCTCCACATACAAAGAACCTCAGTGACCTTCATGGTTCAATTGCGACCAGCGTTCCTGGAAGGAACCATCGGCTAAGTTGATTTGAACTTTTCTGGAAACTCTTGAGCAACACTTTCCTGTAACTGCCTCCGTCGTCCGCACATTAATCAGCACTGTCAGCTCTTAAAAGTATTTTCTGACTCATATGTTTTGTCAGCGCTCGAGCCCAAAGATACCTAACTGAACGCCAACATGTTCTGCTGGTTGTGGTGCCATAGTTAAAGGAACTGTGCCGTAGTTTTCTTATGTTAAATTCTTTAATAAAATGAGATTGTGTTGTTCTTTTCAGTCCCACGTAACCTATTCAAGGCCCTTCTCCTCTAGTGTCTTGCTGTCCTACAGCTTTCTGAAAGGCACCGAGCTCTTGCCAAGTTAGTGCCTTGCTCAATAGAATCATCTCATTTGTTCTTTCCTCTCTATTCACGTTTTGTTGTAATTTACTCCTTTGTTTTTAGAAGAGAAGTTCAACCCCCCCCAACAGAATACATTCATCTGTATGAATATATTTTTATTGTTTTAATATCAACATCAGGTCAAAACTCTCCTTTTAATAGTTTACATTGGCAGCTTTATGTTACAGACATATGTTACAGTCCATTATTTAAAACATTACAGTTTCGTATTAAAACACATTTTAATCAGTGACGTGTTATATATACAGTATACTATATATATATATATAAATATATATATATATATATATATATTCTGAGATTCAAACCAAACTGTACTGAAACAAACGGTAAGGCCTGATTAACCAAAGACTTCCAGTACATGGTGTGAATGAGAAGAACTGTCGCTCAGGATACTGACTGGAGTTCATGTGGATCATGAGACCTGGGAGAACAATAGTTTACATGCACATTTTAACGTGAATAAATAAGTGTTCTGCTGGTGTTGCATGTCAATAATTGTTATGTTAAAACCCGCCAACAACAACCTGGATAAGATCACATGCATTACTTCACTGTGATTGTTTAAAATAACCCGCTTGCTTTCAGATGGCCTGTTGTTGATGACGTATCTCCAGGTACTTTTTTTTCATGTGGCTAAACTTTCAAAGAATGCATTACAGCCACAGGACATGATTTTAGTAACATGGATATCTGCAGTTATAGATTCTTGGTTTCTTTCGGCTGAACTTACATCGCGTCCACAAGCTGATGTCAGTCCTACATCCAGGACATTCACTTCGTCTAACAGTGGAGCAAACAAACCGTTACAGAGGTTTCTTTGGCAGCAGGACACTTGAAGTTAAACAGCATTGTTTTTTTTTATGGCAGATTATTGCGATACTTGTGTTATTTTATCAATAATCCCATGTCAGCCCTTTTTTCTTTCTACTGTCTCTGTCTCTAAGGTCTGCGTCCTGCTCTGCTTGCCCTCTGACACTGAGGTGTAGCTGAAAAGGTTCAAGGGCAGAAAGGGTTGCATGTTGTTAGTCTTTCAACGGTTCTGGACTCAGTGCGTGGCTGTCGTCGGGGCAGTCTGCTCCGACGGTCCCGTGGACGCTGCTCATGTCTCCCTGGTTGAGGGCGCTGAGCAGGGCCTTCTCCAGCTTCTGCTCCAGAGCGTCCAGGCGACGGTCCACATGCTCCTTCAGCCTCCTCTCCATCTCCTCCAGACGACGCTCCATGGCCGAGTCCAACTCCCTGCAGAGCAGAGGCAACACGAGGCAACGTTACTGCCAATAACAAAAAGGTGATCTGATGAAGTTAAACTCAGCAGAACCTTTGCAAGATGAATAATAATCAAACAGCAGTTTGATAACTCCCAACATGACATTTTTAGACCAGGTCTTGTTGGTCCAGGTTCTGACTCATGTTAAATATAATAACTATGTGACTTTCTATTAAGCACTGAAATGAGTCATATTTAAGTGTAGTGGAGAGGAATGAGTGATTCACGAACAAACATGAAGTCACATCAGAGACAAACCTCAAATATAAACAGACAGTAAAAGTAAACCACCCACACAGTCAGTGCTGAGCATCAGAATCCTGCTGCAGCCGTGTTGCTCATTCCTGTGTGTATGAAACTCAGACAGATGACTTTGTGTTTGTTTCATCTTAACCACCCAGAGGGAAGTTTATAAACCAAGATGCTTTGCAAAACATCGTCCACTTTTTCTCAAGCGTTTCCAGTCTTCCTGAATGTCTTTGCATTTGTTTGTTTTTCTCAGAATTACTTTTTAACCCTCAAGGATCTCAAAGAATCTAGTAATTGAGGGGGAATCAGCTGGTGATGTACTTTGAACGTCTAGTTCTATTTTGTTAGTTGATGTATTTTTATGTGCAAGCATCATCACAAATCACTGGTCAAGATTTGGTGAGAAATTCATTTTAGAAGGTAAGAAACCAATTTCTGCACCTACAGAATCACGACATAGACCAGAATGCAATGCAACAGCAAGACAGGTTTAGGTTGTAAGCAACATTAATATCAAAGTTTCTCTTCTGAAAATAAAAAACACTTTCTATTGCTGTCATTATCGCTCCCTCCTCCTACAAGTCAGCGGCACAAGCAACAACTTCCTGCATTAGTCGAAAAGCATTCTGGGAAATCACAAGCTTTCCAAGAACATCAAATACGCAGGTTGGAGGACAGCCAGTACACAAGAAAGAACAAAGTTCCAGTCTTTCACTTTTCACTCAAGATAACTGATCAGCATCTTTAAAACAAGCAAACACTCAAATGAAACTTTTGTTCGTCCATCAGTTTACAGATATTCCTCTTCCTCACGTTTTCTGGAATCTAATTCAAAGTATTAAACTGTGGTAACTCCACTGATGTGTGGGTGAAACGTACCGCTGAGCTGCCGTCCTGTCCTCGATGTGGAGTCAGACTCAGCTGACATTCTCTCTGAACCCACATGTGCTGCTCTGCTCCGTCAAAGAGCCTCATTTATCAAACTGCAGCAGCAGCACCAGCTGGTAAACACGTGTTGTTATTGTAGAGTGAAAGTAATGTTAAATTAAGTTAACTGATACTGAGCCTTTGTGTCAGCGGTGACTTAAAGATTTGATTTATTCAATGAGGTTTGGTGCAGTTTGTCAACATTTTAAGGACTCAAACATTCAGCGATGCTGATAAATGAACTCTATTGTCTCCGTATCAGCCTCCTCCCTGCACCGCTAACCCAGACACTTCTATGTGGCCGGGTCTGTCAGCTGTTCACTGAACACAACTGTTACCAGAAAAAGAAGAACATAAAAGCTCCAGTGACTTTATTACCAGGCGGTCTGATGAATTATGAGATTTTGTTTGTGTTGCCAGGCAGATTGGAGATCAGTGAATGTTCTATCATGACGCAGTGGGAAATGTTTGGGCGTCAGCTAACAACGCGACCTAACACAACCAGAACCACTGTCCCATTGAAGAGTCTGTTTCCTCCACACCGACCTCTGCTCCTCAACAACGTGACTAACACAATGACGTGGCTGCAGAGATTTAAACACAGTGATCAAAGATGCCTAATCTTTCTACGACACTACTTTCCTTTTAATTAAGAATAGAAGAGCTCAAACATGCCGTTTAATCTCATAAATGCAGGGACAATTCGTTACACGCTCTCTCATCAATCACATCTTCTCAGAATACGATTCTGTGAAGTGAAATGAAAAGGAGGCTGTGAGCAAACTGTTCATAGAATTCTCCCTCTGTGGCTGTGAGTATGTTACTCCAGATGGAGGAGCTTGTGAGCACATGTGCCTCACAAGCTCCTCAAAACAACAAGTAAACATTCAAACTAGTCTTACTGGAGATGAAGTGAAAAAGGTTTTGTTTTCTAAACCAATCGCAGTGAAAAAGCCTGAGCAAAGTTTTAATCAATTTTAAGTAAATGTAATGTACATTTGTTTCTGGTTGCAGAGTCGCCTTTTTGCCAAATTTGATTTAATTAGAAACAGCAACTTCAAATTTGCAAAACTGTTTAATACCACCAAACGAATGATTATTACAGGATAAGACTATCTCAAGAAGTACTATTATCATATAGTATAGTAGTAATAACAATAACCATGTATTATTATTTATAATTTAAAACATTTGACCTTCCATGTTTGGTAGCCTTTGTTAACTGCAGTAACGTCTTTCTGCCACAAGGTGGAGCTCCGTTATCTGATTACAGATTCATGTAGAGCGATGGGTTCAGGTGTTAAACAGAAACACAAGCAGTCACGTGACTTTGATGACTAATTAGAAGAATACTAACAGATGAATCAACACAATCTGTGTTATTTCTCTGAGCAGCAGCAGTGGCGAGTTGTATTGAATTGAAACACTGTCTTAACAGGACGGACTCACTGAACTTCACCCACCATGAGCCGTTTCTCATCATCTTCTCCTTCTCTGCCAGCGCCGTCGCGTCCTCCAGCCTCAGCTTGGTCACCTGACCACAGAGGCTCTGGAGTATGGGCAGAAGCTCAGGGCCGGAGCCCGCGGCCTGGCCGGGCCCCTGCCCTTTCAGGAGGTTAGACATCATCTCCGCCAGCTGGGCGTGGCTCGCTGGACCTCCAGTCTCGCTGCTCGCTAGAGATGGAAGACCACATCACAAACCGCTCAGCTCAAGAGTTAGGAATTTCAAAACTCAGAAAATAATCACCGAGACGTTTTGTTTAATGCCTCTGCAAACTATTTTCAGCCTTATGCTGCGTTTTACACTTTCAATGTTCTTGAGTATTTTTTTTCTTTTTTGATCCGAGCAAGACGAACACAAATAACCTCGCGGACAAGTGACGTTTTTTTACTGCGACAAATAATGTATAACAACACGGAGGCTCCGTAGTACGAACCATGACGGAAACCACGCCTTCTGGTCTTACCTTCCACAATATATATATATATATATATATATATATATACACACACACACACACACACACACACACACACACACACATACAGTATATATATACTGTATGTGTGTGTGTAAAGGCCTGAAGAATTACATGAAGAAAGGACATTTTCTACAAAATATCTATAAAAACTTTAAGACATTCCGAATTGTGATTTTCAACAACGTCGAATGTTTCAGCAAAAAGGTAAAGTCGTTTTTTCTAAGTCAACACATTGTGTGCTCCTGTTTGACCTGAGATAAATGATGGTCCTTACTGATATTCCTCGTGTTGACACCGGACACCAGCAGGTCTGGGGAGGAGGAGGAGGAGCCGTCTGACATCGCTCCATTCAGAGCTGGTAGAGCTTCATCTGCAGGCCTGATGGAGCCGACTGGAGGCTAGCGACACAGAAACAAGACTATTAATCTATCCGATATGCAGTATATGCAAACATTTTCTCAACACACATTTCACTGACATGACGCTGCTAGTGGACATGCTAAACAAGGATTTATCATTGCAGGACATTCAAAAATAAATGATAATGATAATAACTGATACCCTGGAGTCTGCAGGCTGGGGCTGGTTGCTGACGGCTGCTGGGGAGGTGTTGGCTCCTTGAGCCAGGGCAGAGAAAACTCCACCGCCCATCAGGAGAGGCAGGAAGCCACCCAGAGAGCTGGTCTGGTTCTGGAGAGAAACACAGTCCCTGTGTCACGTAGCAAGTTGATTTTCATAGTGAGCTGAAATGAACTGAAACCAAAGGTGTCCTGAAGGTGGATAAGTGATCTCAAACCTAATGGTACATAAGTGAAGTGAAGTTCAAGCAAGTGGAAGGTTATGAGCTAAAACATGAAGTCCCTCAGCATCGTCCTCAGACTAAAGTCATGGCTGCTGTTGTTGTTGTTGTTGTAATTCCCCCTCTTTGCCAGAAGAGGTCATTAAGGTAATAAGTAACTCACTGCTCCTTTACTCCCACCTTCTGCTGGAAGTGCACCATCTCCATGAGGTTCTGGGCTCCCGGTGAGAGGCTCGTCCCCATCTCCTCAACCAGACACTGCACCTGCTGCATGTCGATGCCGGGGCCGCGGGCCGCGCAGGGCTGTAGCGTCTGGAGGCCCACGAGGACGCGACACACCAAAACACTGCTCCGACCGCCCAGGGAGAGCAGCTGAGACACCGAAGCCAGATGATTAAACTCAAGTCAACACAGATGTATAATGTATATCATGTATAAAAATTGTCCCAGGCACTTAAAAAATGTCTCAACAGTTTGAAGATTAAAGTTTAGAAGATCTACGGTCTCTAGTAGACGTCAAACGTCTCTCTGAACGCGGCTCACCTTCACTTCACAGGCGGAGGACGGATGCTCGAGGATCAGCTGTTTCTTGTAGAAAGGCCCTCTGTCTGAACTGTGGGCAAAAAAAGAGCGAGGAGACACTGCTTCAACTTACCGTCGGACATTCATCAAACTCAGACGTCATCTGAACTTAACCAGAAACTGATCCATCAAAAAGTAATAATAAATGTATCAATGGCGACTAAATTAAAGTTTATTTAAAGAGTCTATGACGTAGTGGCCTGCATTCAACATCGTACAATGGAGATCAAACTCCAGACTGGCTTCATTCATTAATGAAGTATTTTTGGTCATTATATTCTTGATTTTGTTCATTAGCTCAGACTCATGTCAACTCAAAAACTCAAAACCCAAGTGCTGATAATAACTGTGTGCGTATACCTGTCTGGCTGGACGCTGTCGTCCCTCTCCCCTCGTATCGTACCGCAGTATTCTCCCATCTGGTCGTACACCTCCATGGTTCGAGCCTCGCTGACGAGCAGCAGGCGGCTGATGGCAGTAGGGGAGCAGGGGGTGCAGCGGAGCGTCAGAACACAAGGAGAGCCTTCCTCTGTCTGCTCCAGCAGCACTGGGCCGCCCCTGTGAGGGGAGGACACGTGTTAAAGGTGCCGTTCACTCATCGTATCATCTATGCCCCTTTTATTTACATAACATGGTGAGGTTTGTTTCCTCACGTTACACACACACAGTTAACCTCTGTCAGCCTTTACCACAACTATTAAAACAAACAGGGAGAATCCTATTTTTTACAGCAGCATTTAACACAAGTGTTCACAAACGTTTCCTACAGATAACTACTTTAATAGAAGCTTCTCACCAGTTTGTCTCGTCTCCCTCTGGCGGACTGAGCTCCTCTTCATGATCCTCTTTGTTACTGACGTGAACAGGAAGCAGCACCTGAGCCAACTGAGCGTGACAGGTCCAAGCAGCTCCGCTCTTCACAGCAATGTCCACCATGATGCTGCTTAGGCCACAGGGGCTGTAACCTACTAGGAGACAAGCTAGGACACAAAGTAGGGAACAACTTAGGAGACAGGGTAGGAGATGAGTATTGAGGCAATTCAGGGAAAAAGTAGCATGTTATGAGATGTTTTAGGAAACAAATCAGGAGCATCTACAGTCTTTAAGAACTTAAGTCTTAACTATATGGATAAATCTGACATGTCAAAGAAGATGAACTTCACATATGTTGTGTGTATGTATGTGCAGGAGCAGAGGTGGAATATAGTTTACATGTACTCAAGTTCTCTACTTGAGTACAATTTTGAGGCGCTTGTTCCATTTCATGCTACTTTATACTTCTATGGCACAAATATTGTACTTTTTACTCCACGTCATATATTTTACAGCTTGAGCTACAAGATCTTTTCTGATGTAGATTATTAAGGACAGACAAACATCATGTCCTGTGTTTTTTGATTCAGATTAAATCAACTAATCAGTTATTATATCATAGATAAGCTACCCAGCCGTATATAGTAGCTACACATGTAACTACACGTTAATATTAATACATCAATAAATACAACCCAGTGATATAATACATATGAATCTGAAATAGGCTATTCTGCCCAATAAATAAATCTAGTTTAAGTATATGTAATGCTATGTACTTATAGGTTCTGCTTTAACTGTGCAGGTTAAAGCATTTGACAGCTATGATGTTGGGGTGTTTTGACTCGTATATTTGTAAATCAATATATATATAGATTATATTGAGACCGTTAAGTCTTTGCTACAGCACCATAAATAAACAATATAGTTTGCTAATCTCAAGATACTTTCACCTTTAATTTACCTTAAAACAGCCCCGGTTGAAACTGTTGATTAGCTTGATTCCATCAGATTTTTTATTTTTCGTCTTCGCATTTCTTCAGACGTTTTTAAAAAACTGCAGATGAACCGGATTCAAAGGTACAACCGATGATAAAACGGTGAATTTCTGACCAGTAGCTAAAAACGCTAAATCCACTGCGGCGAACTACAGCTGCCTTGTATCAGGCGGCACGCGACGGGAGTGTTGTGATGTGATGTCATCAAGCAGCGACTCACGTCAACCCAGGCGTTGATGTTCTATTTTTGGTAAATAAGCACCTTTTTCCCCCCAAGTACAACAAATAATTATACGTACTGTGTGTCATGTATTTGTATATAGTGTTACGTTAGAGCTTGTGACATGTTTTAACTATATATTGTGATTCGTGAACGTTAGCAACGTAGCTAACTTAAATGTCTATGGTCAACAGCGTTAGCTTGGAGCCTGAAGTTGCTATTAAACGTTGTAATTCCGTTAGGATTCGTCCTCTATTGATTATATACGAATCCTCTACTTAAATAAAAGTGTCAATACCATAAGTTTAATTCCTGCATTGGAAAACTCACTTTAGTAAAAGTATTATCAGCCAAATGTACTTTACTTAGAGGACAAGTATTTATTGTGCAGTAAAATGTTCCCTGTGTTTTACTATTATATGTTTCTGGATTATTATTATTACTGCTGCATCAATGTGTATGTTGCATTTTACTGCTGTGCATGTTTAGATGTAGTAAAAAGTACAATATTGACCTCTTAAATGTAGAGGAGAAGAAATAATAAGGAGCATACAATGAAAAAGTACCTCAAATTTGTACTTGGGTACAGTATTTGAGAACAAATTGTACTTAGTTACTGTCCACCACTGCAAATAGTGGCGTAATTAATGGATCTAGCTCCTTTTGAAGCAGGGGATGGACTTCACAGAGTGCTACGGAGACACAGTCTCCAGTGTTGCTGTTGCAGCTCGCTCCGGCTGTAGGAAGCGGGTGAGGAGGCTGATAAAGAGAGGTTTCAGTGTGGACTGTCGAGACAACCGCGGTTGGAACGCCCTGCACGAGGCGGCAGCCGCTGGCAGTGAGGAGTGTGTGCAGGAGATTTTGTCGGCTGCGGGCGGTAAGGAAGGTCATTGTTCAAGTAAGGGTTGTAGTTCTCATATTTTAGAAGCTGGAAGCAAAGAATGCTTTGATATGTTTCTGGATGAATAACTTTAAAAAATATATTTTCTGCCAATGAACTAATCGATGAATTGATTTATCATTTTGGCACTAAAGTGGACCCACAGTTCAAAACCCGAAGATATTCATATTTACAATTGTATAGACAAGGGAAAGCACGACATCCTCACATTTAAGATAAGAGAAGAGATAAGAAGGACTTATTTTGTCATACATCTGTATACAGTGAACAGTACTGAACACAATTGTGATTCACTGGTCCCCGGTGCAAAACAAAACGAATGAATGATGTAACATTCAGAATAGGCATGATGTGCAAACAGCAATATACAAAAACAGGCAGGTAGTTCATCAAGTTTTTCAGGAAGACACAACTTTTGTTTTCCTCTTTCTGTATCTGACTGTGAGCAGCAGGCTCCTCCCGTAGCTGTGCTGCCTATGTGAACTCTTTGACTCATGAGGGGGAATCTGCATGTTACCTGGCAGCGCAGCGGGGACACCTGGCTGTGCTCCGACTCCTCCTGAAAGCACATGCCAACATCAACCAGCTAACAAATGACTTGTCCTGTCCTTTGTACGCAGGTATAACACGTTGTCAAACTTGTGTTCATGTGTTTTCTGTACTGTCTACAAACCTGGCCAAATACATTTCCTTTGAAGAGTTAAATTGGATGTGATTGGATTAATGTTGTTTGCAATATTTACCAGCTGCTATCTGTTGTCCAGCAGCTGTTGACGGCGGGCAGAAGGAGGTTGTAGAACTGCTGGTCAGTAAAGGTGCGGAGGTCGACCGAACACACACCGCGTCCTGCTGGACCTGCCTTCATCAATCTGTTTATAAGGTAATTATGGAACTGAAATACACACACACAACACTGTGAGGTGTATCCTAACTTGTTCTTTATTTTTATTTTCTAAGGGTCACAGTGAGATTGTGCGTATTCTGGTCGATGTGTGCAACCTGGAGGCTCTCGATGACCATAAGATCTCCCCTGTCTTTGTGGCTGCACAGTATGGACAACAGCAATGCCTGGAAATCCTTGTTAATGCTGGTAAATAGATATTGTTAATTTATGCCTATTAGTATAACTTTGCTTTTTGCAATTTAATGTCGGTCAGGGACTTGATCAATATGCACCAAAGTTATCTTCTTGTGTCCCAGCTTCTCTCTCCGCCTCTTCTTTTCACTCCTCACTTACACCAGCAATCCAGTATTTTTTTGGATTTAGGGGCCAATGTGAGCACTCAGGCAGCTGATCTGGCCACACCGCTGCTGATCGCCTCTCAGGAGGGCCACCAGGCCTGTGTGGACTTCCTGTTGGACCACGGGGCAGATCCTAATCTAGCCTGCAGTCATGAGTGGCCACAGCTTCCCATTCATGCTGCCGCTGAGTTTGGCCACATCGGGTACTGACTCATAACTCGTCTTTCCATTATGTATTGTTGTGCACTGATTCCTGACCTTTTGTAATGTGAACCAATGTTTAGTAATGATCCCTCATCACATGTTACATTTGTCAATGAGTTGTGAACTGTGTGAACTGTCTCAGAATGTTTAAATTGAAAAACATTTCAGATCTAAATAAGTCATTTTTTATTGTTATTTGATTAAATGTTGGAAAATAGTGCAGTTTCCCAGGGCCCAAAGTAACAATATTTGATTCATAACTGACAATTAACCAATTATAAGACTTTTCGGCTGATTAACTAACTGATTAATCTTCCTCTCGTCTCAGTACTGATCATCATTAATATCGACACATTGTTCCCTTCTTGGGAGGTGCTGCATGCTAAGGTACCCATATTGTTTTTCCCTGACTCTGTCATTTTGTCAATGCAGTGTCCTCAGGAGGCTGATAGCTGTGACGGACCGTGTGTGTGACCGTGGTGATGGCATGGTGAGTCCACTGTACCTGGCCGTCCACAGCCATCAGAGCAAGAGTGTCGAGATGCTCCTGAAGGAAGGTTATAGCCCAGACGCTCAGGTCTGCTCACACATCCTGGGCGTCCGATCACCGCTCTCCTTGGCCTTGAGTCGCACACCCAACGAACCGTGCAGGTTCGTTAGAAATCAGATTTGACCCCCTCACAGATTCTACAGAACATACGCAACATAAAACCGATGGACTCATACTTGACTTTGATTAAAATCTCTTTCAGTGAATCAGTGGGGTTGCTGGTAGCTGCAGGAGCAACTTTGAGTGAGGAGGACTGGATTTACGCCTTGGCCACTGACAAAACAGACCTGCTGCAACTGATACTTGAGCACAGATGGATCCCTCGACAGGAGACTTTGACCAGGGACTGTTCTGTACCGAACCATCGTGGGAAAAGTGTGTTAAAGCTGCAGGAACTGAGGGAGCTGCTCTGTGTGGCACTAAACCAAGTACACTTTGCCGCCTGCTGGTTTCCTCTGCTTCTAAAGGCAGGACTGGAACCTTCTTTGCTGCTTCAGCCCCACATGTAAGACTGTCCTCTCACTTGTCCACTCTTTGTCAAGTATCAGATGGCTGTACTCGATCAATATCTTTCTGTCCTCTTTGCTTTCTAGGTTGGAGCAGACAGACAGCGAGGTGTTGAATTACCTGCTGGAGTTTGTAAACTGGTCGAATCTGTCTCCCCCATTGAAACATATTCTGGATCGAAGACGGGCAGAGAAGACCTGGGAACCACGTCCACATCTTGGTACAGTGACAAAATATACACTGCAGATTTGCTTTCACAGAACTGTAGTAAACTTTGAGTGATGACAATTGTCCCTTTCTTTTCTGCCCTCCTCCCGCTAGACTCCATTCCCTGTCTTTCCCACATCTGCCGGCTGCAGGTTAGGTCAGTGCTGGGACCAGATCTACTAATGAGGACCAATGTAGTGCAGCAGCTCCCTGTTCCCTCCCCACTTCATGTCTTCCTCCAATTCAGAGACATTCCAGAAGCTACCTACACACACTCACCGCCATCATCACCACTTTCAGATCGAATACAGGGATACAGCAGCACACACCAACACAGACATGTGCTATAACCCCATTCACATTTAAATCATCTTATTTCACACCGTTTGACAGTTTGATATGTTTACTGTGTCAGCTTGTTACAGCTCCTCATGGCAGCTAAATGATGTTTCAGTGTAGTATATATAAACCTATGTTTTTATAGCACTATTCAATCACATTTAAATATTTTTTGATGTTTTGTTCATCATTGTACACACATTTCCTCAAACATTTGAATATATTGGATCTTTGAGACTTTAGGATTACAAGAATTTCAAATATAAAAGTTCTAGATGTGTTTTAACAAAGGTTGACTACACAGGTGGGCCAGAGAGGTTTAAGAAGATACTTCATGTTACTTTTCAAATATTATTTCACTCATGTGCAGATAATAATATGCCCATGCTGTTTGCAGTCAGCTGTTTCTTTGGGCCAGTGCATTTATGTTTAAATTTGATCTAATTTATTTATTTTCCGCAAAAAACTCAAGTGTTGTTTGTTCAGTTGACATATTGATGCTCTGTTTGTGATACGACAATAAAAGCCATTTGGTCCAATTGTGATTGGTGCAAACCGTTGTCATTAACACCGAGACCAGATCTGATTGGTTAACGTCACAGCTGTTTTTTTGACAGGAGGAAATAGAATCCACAGCGACGTAAGAAACAAGGGAGCTCGTTTTCAGGGTTGTTTACTTGACATAAAACCTCTGTAATGTAAGGCCGCTAAACTACAAATTGAGGAGAGATATGCCTTAATGTATTTCATACGTGAGTATGTTAAATTCTTCCCTTTTTATCAGTTGCATATGCATGTTTTCCGGTCGATATCGGCTGTGTTGCTGCAACATGCTAGCCTGAGTCCTTCGTTAGCTCAGGTGATGCAAACAAATGATTGATTTCTGTCCGTTCATGTTGCGCACAGACTCGTGCACAAAGACGGTGCTTCTCTAATTCAAACGAACAATTCCATAGCACACTGAAACGTAAGCCTTGCCAACACACACGTGTTTCTACTGGGTTCGTGGTTCCAGCCGGAGAAGCACAGCATCGTCCCAGTGTGAGCTGCTCTGGAGCGGAGGGCGACTCACTGAGGTGATGGGGAAAGCTGTACTGTTGCATATCTAAGAGTAGTTTTAAATATAGTGTTTCATCGAGTTCATTGCTTTTGTTCGGCAGACATGCAAAGTGAAGGAACTAAATGCAGTGCACACTGCAACATTAAACATACTGCCCACCAGTGCTGTAAGCAAATGCAATGTGTTTATCTTGTGTACTAAGATTATATTACTGCTGAAGAAATAATCAATGCGACAGTAAACGTATTTTAATGTGTAGCTTCCTCTATGAACTATAATTCCACAGCAACATACTGTATGTTAGGGCTGCACCGTTTAATCCACTGTTGATGAATTGCTTGCTTACAGTCCAGATTGATATATTTTAATTGCTTTCTAGATTTGATTAATGGATGAAGCAAAGCTTTCTGAAGCACCGAATAGCTATGAAGCAGTTGTGTTGAAAATGGTTCGTGTGTGTGTGTGTGTGTGTGTGTGTGTGTGTGTGTGTGTGTGTGTG